CATAATTTGCCAACTGAAACTCTAGCGTACACAGATTTCTGTATATACCAGTAAGATAGTCGGCTCTTCTTTCAATACCGGACGGTAGCTGGACAGCTTAGTTCGGCTTAGTGGGAGTTCTCTCCCTTGGCCGCATTGCAAACAGCCGAATAGTCTCACAGACGATTCTCGTCTAAAGTTTGAACAAGGAATCAGCATCATGGTACATGGGCAGTAACCCATAAGTGCTCCGTTCTTCTTCTAACTTAAGTCTGAGTCCGAAGAAGCTCAGCATAATGAACAGACTCTTTAGCACCGGCGAGGATCCTGAAATACTTTAGGTAGATCTTTAACTCTAAATTCTGCCCAGGCAGCGCCGTTAGGCTACTCTTTTCGATTTCCAACTGCCAAAGGATTTTTTGAGTGCGCAACAATGCACACGGGCGTCCGATTTCACTACCCAGAGACCAGAGGCAATTACAAGAAGTCCAAGTCCACGTGAAAAAATCCCAGTCCTTACCGGGGATTGAACCTGGAATCTCTAGCACTGGAGGCGACCACCAGGCCTTGAGACCACGCAGTCCCCTTGACGATTCTCGTTATAAAAAGAAAGCCACATTACTAACCTAATTCCCCCCCGACTTCTTGTGTGTTGACATGCGGCTTTGTGGCTTAAAGATCAGTGAACTGGCTTTACATGTCTACCCTCACAACTCCCTACCTACTCATCCGCACCCATCTGACTACCTCGATACAGGTCCTGTCCAGAAAGCGGACGCCATCCAGACATGTGTTGGTTTATTCTAGCTTTAAAAAAAATTGTTTAAGCTACTGTTTAATGTTTTGATAAAAATAGTCTCGTCCAGTAAGTGAAGTAAAGATCCCTTTTAACGCCTTTAGGCGCATCAGGCACATCGGAAGAGCACCCATATTTTTACAAACCAATCGGCACTAGGTGGGTAATGTGGTCAGCATTACGCCGGCCGTCTTTACTTCTCCAGGACATACATCCTGGTACCCATTTTAGGCTGGTCTGACCTGCGACGCCCCATACCATGATAAAAATCCATGCAGCGAGCAGTGGGTTTCGACCGCGGTACGTTGGAATTACTAGTCAGACTCGTAACGCCTAAACCACGGACACCACTCGTACCCGTGCAGGGACATTAATATTAATGTCTGACTGTTGGGCAGGTGTAACGGAATATTTCGTCTTCATGCTTATAATTTCATGCATTTGACAGCACATTCGTGACAGCATTTTCGTGATCAAACTACAGGGAAGCTCACTAATACTGTCCAAAGACTGTCCCTTGCAAACAAAGAAAGGCAGAGTGACATGGTTCGGGCACACTGAGAGAATGTCAGATGACAGAGAAGTAAAAACTGTATACACAAGGGAGACGAATGGTCATAATCACGAGGCAGACCAAGAAGACGATGGAGAGATAATATCTAGACAGACCTGCAAACACTTGGTGTTACCAATTGGAAAGAGAAGGCCAACCAGAGAGATGGATGGAGGCTGGTGGTATCTGCAGCAGTGAACCTCAAGAGCTAGGAATGCTGAAGAAGGAGAATAAGAAGTAGAAGATGATGCAGAAGAAGAAGAAGAAGATGAAGACGAAGAAGAAGAAGAAGAAAAGAAGAAGAAGAAGAAGAAGAAGAAGAAGAATGACATGATGGGACGATTGGTTGTGAATCCTCTAAACAACTTTCAGTTCATGCAGTTTTAACACTTGCCCATTTCTGCCCCATGAGTTTCTGTATCCCAGTACCTCCTAAAGGGTTACCTTAAAATAAAAATAGGACAAGACCAGATAAAGTCAGAATTATAATAAAACGTATTAGGTGAAGAGATGGGTGATTCACCAGAAGATTAGACCAACGTACGTGTTAACAGTCAGTTCAGATTCATATCTATGTGACGTCAACGATTTGTTGGAAATAACTTTTTCGAGCAAGTAATGAAGGACATCACTAAAACTTACACTAGTCGTCCTCATGGAGGATGCAATTTGCCGTTATTTGAAGCCTCACCCTGGCTTTTGCCGGGGGCCCTTAATATAGCCGGGGCATAAATATGGCCTAACGCCTGAAAGCGGTTTCTGGGATCTCTCACGGGTGATTGTAATCCGCATGGTGGCACTTTGTGTCACCGGGTGTTTATCGCTTGTGTGATGTTCTGGTAGGGTTTATCAAGAGAGAGAGAGAGAGAGAGAGAGAGAGAGAGAGAGAGAGAGAGAGAGAGAGAGAGAGAAGGACATTACGCTGTTTAATCCCCCATTCGTGTGGGTTTAAGTTTATGTGCGTACTATTACTAAAATGAACAAAAAGGTGACGTCCGCTTCCTGAACCTACCTATCTATTTTATTTTATCCTTCTTAGCGTTCGAGTGCATTAATCTCACGCGGACAGTTCTGGTTGTTCCTACACTGCTAGAATTTGGTCTCCAGAACCTGTTTTACAACCACATCCGTTTTAGAAACACACCCACTTAACAAACATCCGTTTTACAAACACACCCGTTTTACAAACACATCCGTTTTACAGATCTTGCCTGTTTGTGTGCAGCCGCTTTATTCTTTGACTCAGGCGGATGAAGACCGTCTTTGAAGAAAACATCCCTAATTAGACGCCTCCGCGACATGTTTGTTAGGGGAGCAGAGGGTCTAGTCTTTGCTTTTCCCATAAAGGCCCGGAGCCCACACGGGAAGTATCGCCCACTGAAATGTAATCATCTAGTCCATATGGCTGGCACCTTTCCCTCTTTCTAGACGATAGTGTGATATTGCGCTATGAGGAGGCACGGGAATCACAGCCCATGGCGAGGGCGAGTGTGACTAGCAAGACCCGCCTGCTTTAAGAAAGTCTTCCACAACCATAGCATGGGATTTTAGGACCGTTGTTGTTACCATTTGTGTTTAGTCTGTAGTCTAGTCCAGAGGTCCTCGAACTGGGTGCCGCGAGGCGTATGCAAGGGGTACCGCGGCAGTAATAAAAAAAAAGTCGGCTAAACATTGTGAAATTATTAAAGAAGGCAAGCAGATACTTAAGAGGTATATTTTTGTTATCTTCGCTCGCCACTGTCGAAAAGAGTTTATCGTTTGTTTCACACTAAGACGTTTATCGTACGGCATAAAATGCCAATGCACCCTGATAAGAATTGTCCTTGTGTTTGTCTAAAGGTGCGACCGATCCTCAGCTACATTCGTTAAGGTACAGTCAATAAGTAAGTTACATTGTCTAAGCAGACAGCCGCGAGCCTAAGCCATCCAAGCTGGCCTGCCTCAGTTCGTGGAAAGACAACTCACAACCAAAAGAAAATCCGAGGAAAACTAAGAAAATATGATCCTAGCTACCTCACTTTGTTTGGCTTTATTTCGGTTGTGAACGCACAGACACAGGAAGGGCAAAGCGTTCACTACCATAGAAGTGTTGCGAACGGCTGCTTGGTGCGTCCATAGGAATAAACTCACAGGGAGCAAGTACAGCAGGGATCTACCAGTCATCAGTAGAAGTTATCCTCGTCCAGAAACGTTTCGGCCCACGATCTCCTAGACGTTTTCAGAGGTGGGCCCACCTGAGTTCATGAAGCTCAGGGCTGGTGCCCTGCTGCACGAAATTACCGGATGATGTTTTTCTTTCGGATAGGGACAAGACGACTTGGTGATTTGCATAAGGTACTGTGAGATAAGAAGTCGCCGCGGTATCCTAATTAGAACAGTCAGCATACCTGGACGACCGAGCGACAAGCTTACGATTGGTTTACCGAAAACATTTTGGACTTTTGTTAGTAGGTGGCAGATAGACACTGGCAGACAATTCGGACACGATGGATTTTCAAAGGGTGAGAAACCCTTTTCCACTAGACACCCGGACCAGCTCACCAAGGCCCGTCCCCTACGTTGTTTCGTTGCGTCCAAAGCCAGCTCGAGGCCCTCTCGGCTACCTCGCCCAGTTTTTTAAGTGTTCGTTTCCGTTCATTACCGTGCAATCCTAGTTCTTTAACCACATTGTACAGTGAAGTGGAGACGAGACCTCTCGCTCCCATTTCGACAGCAAAGACACGTACCGTGTACGCCTCGTCTCTCCTCAGTCCGGCTGCTAAGTCACAATATTTCTCGAGCTTATATGTGTGACTCTCGTCCATTCGCGACTCATACGGGACGGTCAGTTCAATCAGGATGAGCTGCCGTTTCTCCGCAAAGTGGAGAACTATGTCAGGTCGCAGGCCGGTCTTCCGGATTAACTCAGGGTACCTTTCATGGCCTGGCAGATCAACCGCCAGTAACCAGTCCCTCGCAGAGTCTAGCACAGATGGATCGAATGCGTTTCGGTTAAACTTACCTTTTTGAGTCTGCCCAGCCTTGAGGAAACGAACGGGGACGATGGAAGAACTGGCTCTGGCGTTAGCCCTCATTCTAGCCTGGTCAACAACGGCAGCTAACTCTTTTAGCACCTTGTTGTGTCGCCAGGTATATCGGCCTTGGCCTAGGGCTTTCCTGCACGCGGACAGGACGTGTTCTAGCGTCTGCTTCGCTTTACACGGTGGGCAAGTCGGATCGTTGGTCGCAGACCACTTAACCATGTTAACACCGGACGGTAATACATCGTACGCCGAAAGAACGATAAAGCTCAGTTGCAGCGGGGTCATTCGCCAGATCAAATTAAAGAGTCACCTGAAATGCAATCATTCTGATTAAGTACACACAGGTTAAGAAATCTTTAAACGCCTCGCTTCATCTCTTTAGGCAGGGTCATAAATGACGGAGATAATTTCTAAAAATGAAAAGGATATAATGCAAAATTCACACAAACAGTTTCATTCATCGCATTAAAAACAAGTGAACATTAAATGCGCACCATTCTTCTTCTTCTAATAATTTAACCGATTTGTGTGTAGGGGTGCCGCGATTATTTTTTAGCCTGACAAGGGGGCCATGGCCAAAAAAGTTTGAGAACCCCTGGTCTAGTCCATATGCAGGGTGTTAAAACGACACAACTGCTTTTCAGATGAGATGCCTGCACCTCCTCGAGCGATCGGCCACTCCAAGGTCCTTAAAATGTTGGACTACCTTGTGGAGTCGCTGTTTGTGACACCCACAAACACCAGGACATGTGGTCATGGCCAGCAATGCGAGGCAGACTACAATCCAGATAAAGTCCTCGGTTTGAGTCTGGAACAGTTTCAGCTGTTGGTGCTTGGCTTGTCCTTCGTGGCTGCTATGTAAGTGGGTGTGTCTGGTTGTCATGCAAGTAGGCTGTCTGGTTGCCATGCAAGTAAGTTGTCTGGTAGGTTGTCTATTTGCCAGAGTAAGTGGGTTGTCTAGTTGATAGAGTAAGTGGGTTGTTTAGTTACCAGAGTAAGTGGGTTGTCTGGTTGTCATGCAAGTGGCTTGCCTGGTTGTCATGCAAGTAGGTTGCCTGGTTACCATACAGGTAGGTTTGGTTCCCATTAGGGCTGTACCGAATATTCGCTTCTTATTCGCTTCGGGGCCGAATAGTGGACCTAATAACTATTCGGTTTTCGGCCAAATAGTTGCGGTCGGGCCGAATATGACTAGTGGTTACATTACACCCGTTTCTGGACTGGTGGAAAATAAACATATCAAGATTTCCCACCTTGGTTCATACTGTCAAGTGTTATCTTTGTTCCCCACCTACGAGCGTACCAAGTGAACGTCTGTTTAGTACAGCTGGAAATACCTTCAGTGAGACAAGAAGCTGCCTTAATGCTGACAACATGGAACGAAGTTTTTGTGTGTGTTTGTGTGTGAAAGCTAATGCCGCTTTTATGGATTAACTAAGCTGTCAGTGAAAATTTACAAGTTTAGTTACTTGTTTTAAGTAATAATATACTTTCATTCCTAGCTATTAGTTACCACAGACTGACTGACTGAAGGATGCAAAACATAAAATGTTTTAAAATGTTTACTATTCTGTACTACATTTTGTGAAGAAAAATTACAGCGTACATTTGACATTATGAATGCTTTTTTTAAGATCTTTTTTTGTACGCTATACACTATTCGAAAGTGGAAGAATGGGCCTAAGTTTGAATAGTGGGAAGACAGAAGTAATGGTGGTATCAAAGAAAATAATTATTCCTTAATGTGTAATAAAAGTCAATGGTTTTATTTTGGGACAAGTACAGAAATTTAAGTATCTGGGCACATGGATAACATCAGATGGAAGGTGCATTACTGAAAAAAGAAATAGAATAGGACAAGCAAAAACTGCATTTCATAAAATAAAGAACATCTTATGCAATATATCTTTGTCATTGAAGGTTAAAAAAAGAATTCTTGCCTGCTACATACATCCAGTTTCAACATATGGCTGTGAGTCTTGGACAATCTGTAGGTAGGCCAAACAATTTTTTGAGGCCTCAGGGATGTGGTTTTACAGAACAATGCCTAATAATACTTTGGACAGTGAAAAAAAAAAAAAAGCAACCAAGAGGTTTTGAAAGAGGCGGGAGCCTGAAGACAACTATTCACAGACATTAGAAGGAGACAGTCATAATTTTTTCGGCCATGTTATAGGATGAGGGGAAATGGAACACGTGGTGACCACTGGAAAGATATGTGGACGGAGGGATAGAGGAAGACAACGAGAGAAGATTCTTGATAGTCTTGTTGCATGACGTGGAGTTGTGTCAGCACACGAACTAATACATGCTGCAGGAGATCGCAGATTGTGGCGAGGCATAATCGCCCATGCCAGTCGGCAAAGCACCTGATCATGATGATGATGATTCACTATTCGTATTCGTATTCGGCCGAATAGTTGGTCCAGCTATTCGTATTCGGCCAAATAGTGGAAATCACTATTCGGTACAGCCCTAGTTGCCATGCAAGTAGGTTGTCTGGTTGCCATGTAAGTATGGTGTCTGGTTGCCATGCAAGTAAGTTGTCTGGTTTTAAATGCAAGTAGGTTGTCTGGTTGCCAGAGTAAGTGGGTTGTCTGGTTGCCATGCAAGTGGGTTGTCTGGTTGAGAGAAGTAAGTAGTTTGTTTGGTTGCCAAAGTAAGTGGGTTGTCTGCTTGCCATGTTAGTGGGTTGTCTAGTTACAGGACTAGGTGGGTTGTCTGATAGAAAGAGTAAGTGGGTTATCTGGTTGCCACGAAAGTGGGTTGCCTGGTTGCCGAAGTGTCTGGTTTAGTAGGGCGCGGCTAGCATGCTTCCCTGGTGTTGCTGCCGTTATGGGTTCTAATTTTATTCGGCACAACAGGAATATAATAATAATAATTATTATTATCATTACGATAATGATGATGATGATTGATTTATTGATTTAAACCAGTTGTTTGTCTATAAACTGAAGAGGTAAATAGAAAGGAGGAAAAAGGGGGTGGGGGGGGGAGGGGTGGTGGGCGGGCGGAGTTATGAGGTACACGCACTGTAACTATCTCGATGAGTCAACAAGAACGACTGGTGGCAGGTCACATAACCTGTAGTAGTATTCACATAAAGTAACACGTCACAAGATGATGATAATGATGATAATGTATATAAGATAATACGCCTCTTTTATCTTCACTGTCGATCGCAGAAGAAGAGGAATTTCAGAGAATATGCATGCTGTAATGATGTCGGTTCATTTAGTTACTTATCCATCCATTTTGCTGTGATGTCGATTCTTAATTCAACATTCAACACTCAACATTCAACATTCCATTTCTTTAATGAATGAATGTAACCCATGCCAATTTCTTGACTCAGGGGGTGGATCTGCTGCGTCGCATGCCTCAGCTCAAGTCTACAGCAATCTGGCCGAACGGTACGTAACAACATAACATGGTCTACTAGTGATGACTTCTAGCTGGGTAACATCATAACATGGTTTATCAACCACGATCGCCACCTGGGTAACAACATAACATGGTCTACTAGTGATGACTTCTAGCTGGGTAACAACATAACATGGTTTACTAGTGATGACTTCTAGCTGGGTAAAATCATAACATGGTTTATCAACCACGATCGCCACCTGGGTAACAACATAACATGGTCTACTAGTGATGACTTCTAGCTGGGTAAAATCATAACATAGTTTATCAACCACGATCGCCACCTGGGTAACAACATAACATGATCTACTGGTGATGACTTTTAGCTGGGTAAAATCATAACATGGTTTATCAACCACGATCGCCACCTGGGTAACAACATAACATGGTCTACTAGTGATGACTTCTAGCTGGGTAAAATCATAACATGGTTTATCAACCACGATCGCCACCTGGGTAACAACATAACATGGTCTACTAGTGATGACTTCTAGCTGGGTAAAATCATAACATGGTCTACTAGTGATGACTTCTAGCTGGGTAAAATATAAAATCATAACATAGTTTACTATCATGACCTAGCTGGGTAAAATCATAACGGTCTACCTGGGTAACAACATAACATGGTCTACTAGTGATGACTTCTAGCTGGGTAAAATCATAACATAGTTTATCAACCACGATTTCCACCTGGGTAACAACATAACATGGTCTACTAGTGATGACTTCTAGCTGGGTAAAATCATAACATGTTTATCAACCACGATCGCCATGGTCTACTATCAGCTGGGTAAAATCACCACGTCTTCTATGATGACTTCTAGCTGGGTAACAACATAACATAGTTTATCAACCACGATTTCCACCTGGGTAACAACATAACATGGTCTTCTAGTGATGACTTCTAGCTGGGTAAAATCATAACATGGTCTACTAGTGATGACTTCTAGCTGGGTAAAATCATAACATAGTTTATCAACCACGATTTCCACCTGGGTAACAACATAACATGGTCTTCTAGTGATGACTTCTAGCTGGGTAAAATCATAACATGGTTTATCAACCATGATTTCCACCTGGGTAACATCATAACATGGTCTACTAGTGATGACTTTTAGCTGGGTAAAATCATAACATGGTTTATCAACCACGATCGCCATCTGGGTAAGGTAACAACATAACATGGTCTACTGGTGATGACTTCTAGCTGGGTAAAATCATAACATAGTTTATCAACCACAATTTCCACCTGGGTAACATCACAATATGGTTTATCACTGTTTATTTCTACCCGGGTAAAAAAGTGAATTACTCTTTTCCCGGCCTTTAGGCGTTTTGGGCACATATAGCCAGATCTTTATTCTATAGACCAATCAGCGCTTGGTGGGTGATGTGGCTGCATCTAGCCACACCATTGTTGACCTATCAAATTTAAAAAAAAAAAAATTTACTTACGTATACAATTATTTGCTTATCTAATTCACCGCCTTAACTTTTAAATCTGCCTGCCCAGTTATCTAACTACTCACATAAGCTCTCCATGTGCTTATTTATTTTTGCTGCTCGCTTACACGTTAACTGCCTTACAAGGAATGTCCCTGTTTATACGCTGTCTGTCAATATATCCGTCTACCATTAATCCTTTGACAATGATGACGTCACATTATCAGTCGAATAATCTTCTGAGATACTTGTGTATTCAGTGTTTTTCAAACGGTGAATCGTAGACATGTCTAGGTAGGGCTTCAAATTTTTTTTCCTAATCGGAGTTACCAGACAATATATGGTTCAGTCGTGTGCCAGTGCCTTGTGGGCGGTCGGTACTCGATACCATTGTTGAAATCAACATGAAGTGGTCTGCTTCCAAATCGCCGCAACTGGAATCGAACTTGATAACTAGGAATTAGAAAGCGCGTTCGTAATGCCAGAGTTATATATGCAGAATTACTTTCTGGGCTATAGATGAAAAACATTGATTATCACTGCGGAAAACACATGAATGTTTGTCTCCTAACTGCGAGGATTTGAAGAAAAAAAAATGACATTACCTTTTGCGAATACCGAGTAAAGTATAGCTTCTAAACGTCCCCATGGATAAAAACACCGATTACCTCCGGCGAATACTCAGTAAAGTAAACTGCCACCAAGGCTTAAAACCAAGCCGATTACCTCTTGCGATTACACAGTAAAGTGTATCTTCTAACTGCCCCTGATGATAAAAAACACAATTGACTTCTGAGAATACCCGGTAAAGTATATCTTCTAACTGCCCCTGAGGATGAAAAACACCGTTAGCTCTTGAGAATACCCGGTAAAGTTTATCTTCTAACTGCCCCTGAGGATGAAAAACACCGTTAGCTCTTGAGAATACCCGGTAAAGTATATCTTCTAACTGCCCCTGAGGATGAAAAACACCGTTAGCTCTTGAAAATACCCGGTAAAGTATATCTTCTAACTGCCCCTGAGAATGAAAAACACCGTTAGCTCTTGAGAATACCCGGTAAAGTATATCTTCTAACTGCCCCTGAGGATGAAAAACACCGTTAGCTCTTGAGAATACCCGGTAAAGTTTATCTTCCAACTGCCCCTGAAGATAACCAAAATTCCAATTACATCTTGAGAATACCTTCTGCAGTGTATTTTCTAAGTGCCGAGTTAGGTAAAGCACTGTGAAAAAAGGACCCTTTTCACGCCTCCAGGCGTATTGGGCATATATGGCTAGACCTAAATTGTATAGCCCAGTCGGCACTCGGTTGGTGATGTGGTCACCACCACACCGGCCTCCTTTAACCTTTTAGGACTTCCTCTTACACTTTTAAAGCTGGGTAGATCAAGGAGCCATTTGTATGTTAGGAACAAACGAACGAACGAACAAACTTTATTGCTAAAGAGTTACAAATTGGGCACGCAGGCCTGTTTGGCATTCGGCCCTTCTAAGCATTCATTTGTCAGAGTACCAATGCCTGTTATCATTAATGCATGTTATGAATGTGATAAAAAAGTATACATTATGGAAAAATTCATACACATATCATGTGTACACAATCTTACACACTCAAACACACACACACGTATACATACTCTTACATTATCATACATGTACACTCATATACAGAAATACGTAATACATACATACGCGCATCTATATACATACACAAACATAAAACACACACACATACATACATACATAGAAATACATGCACAAACATAAAAACACACTCACATACATACTTAGACACATGCACACACACACATTCCCTACATACACACCTACACATGCATGCATGCGTACACACACATACAATCACATATACAGACACCCACATACGCCCACAACCACACATATACACTCACATGCATAAATGGACAGGAACCCAGAACATTCGGAACCACAGGAGATTTAATTTTTAGGTTTAAACAACGGATTAACATCAGGGCTACAGGTAGTAGCCCATAAATGCTACGTTCCACTCCTAACTCGAGTCTGAGTCCGAAGTAGCTCAGCGCAGTACACAGGCTCCGTAGCACCGCCGAGGATCCTCAAATGTTTTGGCTAGATTTCTAACTCCAGATTTCTCCCGGGCAGCGTTGTTAGGCTACTCTTTTCGATTTTCAACTGCCATAGGATTTTTTTTGGACATGCGCAACAATACACACGGGCGTCTGATCTCACTACCTGGAGATCCAGGGGAAATTACTAGAAGTCCACGTGAAAAAATCCCAGCCTTTACCGGGACCTGAACCCGGAACCTCTAGCACACGAGACTGACGCCATACCTCGAGACCACGCAGTTTCCCCCCCCCCCCCCCCAGTTCAAGTCGTCTTCTCACTACTTCTGTTTGTCTAGCAAAGATCAGCTACTAGTGTAAGGTGTGCTCTCGTATTTTCAGACACCAGAAAAGTCTGCACCGATTTACAGCACGTCCAGGTTACCTACTGGTGAGATAATGTCATACAATTTATGTTTAAACTATTCCTAAAGTAAGTAACTAATCATTTGCGGGAGTTGCCCTGGTGTAGCGGCTAGACGCTTGCCTGCGGGTCCAAGGGTTGTAGGTTCAGGTCCTGATGCATACTGACTTTAAAAAGCAACCTTGGCTCCCATGTCGACCAGGCCTTACATGGGTATCATGTACAGTCCTGGGAAGTAAATGCGGCGGCATGATGTTGGCCACAACACCCACCGAGCGTCGACTGGTCTATAAAATAAAGGTTTAGCCCTATTTGCCCAGTATGCAAAGGCGGGGAAAAGGGTACTTCACTTTACATTTAGCATTTGCGGATTTCGCTGATCGTGGGAGATCCATATTTTTTATAAACCAGTCGATACTATCATACTTTTCGAAAGCGGCTAGTTGGTTTGTATGGCTATGATATTTTTTACAAGATGGTTTGTCAATAAAATATAAATGTTCATTAACTGGTGCCTGCACATCATAGCATTGCATAATCCTTGACGCATTTTGTTGATGGAAGCACTAGCACATAAAACTCGCCATCTTTCTCTTTCTGCTTGATAAGTAAGTGTATGATAATATAGTTCTGTCCATTTCTTGATGTTGTCATTCCAGATTCTTCTTTGCCCTCCTCTTCTTCGACTAACCCGTGGAGGTGTATTGATCTAAGCACTAGCGCATAAAACCCGCCATCTTTCTCTTTCTGCTTGATAAATAAATGTTTGATAACTTAGTCCTGTCCATTTCTTGATGTTGTCATACCAGTTCTTCTTTGCCCTCCTCTTCTTAGACTAAACCCCAAATGTTCCTTGAAGTAAAGTCTTTGCAATCGAATCATGTCTCACCACGTGCCCAAACCAAGCTAGCTTGCCACGTTTCACAACTGCCGAGAGAGGCTCCTGATGTCCCGCAAATTTGTTTATTTTGTCTCTGACATATTTATTAGTTTTATGTTCTAAATAACTAATTCGTAAAGTGCGTCTGTCGCATGTACATTCGAAAGCCTGAATCCTCCTTTCGATTCCTACAGTGAGAGTCAAACTCTCACATCCATGTAAGTAAATAGACAACATCAGTGATTTGTAAATATTGACCTTCACTGCAATGTTGACTTTGCTCTTCCACATCGTATACAGCTGCAACATCGCGGCTGCTGCAATATCAAGTCATAATAGAGACAACTGAATCATCATTAGAATCATCAATTTGAACTGCCGTTAAACGTTGTGGGGAGGAACAGTTTGCGATCCATTGCTTGATAGGCATCTGTGTGTCCACGTAGAAGCTCCTTAAAGTTATAAATGCATTTCTCCTGAGGCGGCCTCTTCTTTTAATTTAAAATCTTTTAACGTGTAGCACATGCCCTGGTAGTTGTTCTTGCTGCATTCTTTCTAAATGACCAAACCATTTTCTCTTCTGTTTCTCAACAGATTTGCTACATGGTGTTGTTCCTACAATCTGTCTGATAATATCATTTTTAACTGTTTTGCATGACAAAGTTGGCGGCTTTTCTCAGGCATCTCATTTCACAGGTGTTTATCTTACATGGATTAGTCTTTGATAATGTCCAAACCTGGCACTGGTAGAACAGCGTTGGTATTAATATGCTGTTTATAATATGTTTTGTGGCATACTTATATTTGGATGTCTCATCAACGATTAGCTCGTTGGCATCTTGTTTCTATTACCTGATCTATTCTCCCGTCCTCCGAGAATATACTTTAAAGACATTTAAATTATTTAATTTGCTTCAGACAAATAGCATCCAATCCGATATTTAGCGGGATTCTGTTGACCTGCATTACTTCAGTTTTAGTTGCATTTACAAAAAAAAAAATTTATTTTATCTTCTGCATGTTAAACTTAGACCGTTCAAAGGATCTTGCAGTCTACTCCCCTCATTGTAGAACAGGAAATTAAATGGTGTGATAAAATCACTAGAGTAGAACTTTAGCAGAGAACTAAACACCCTGAATCAAGAGGTGCTGTCCCCCGTGTGGGTTCCGCGGTTCCGTTGTGAGGAACAGAAAAACATACCAACTGCCACCCCAACAAGCATGTCTTGTTCTTGAACAAGACTAAAGTCTGAAGGTGAACCAAAAACCAGACATTTACAAACGGTGAACGCGAAGAAGAAGTAGAAGTGAAGACAACATGATCTTCTTCTTCAGCATTCCGAGCCCACGAGGTTCATTGCTGCAAATATCACCCGCCTTTATTTATCTCTTTGGTTGGCCTTCTCTTTCGCGTTAGTAAGTGTTTGCAGGTCTGTCTTGATATTATCTCTCCATCGTCTTCTTGGTCTGCCTCGTGGCCTACGACCATTAATCTGAAGACAACATGATGCGTTGGATAAAACACAAGTTGCGAAAACCCAAGTATAGTATAACTAGAATGCTTTTACACCGGAATCCACTTGGACAAAGAAATATAGGCTTACCACAAATACTCGAAGAAGGGAACTAGAGAGTAAGGTTAAAAGAATGGGACGGACATGGGGTGAGCTGCATATGATAGCACAGGATACGACGGGTTAACGTTAGTTGGTTGAAAGCCTATGCTACATTCGAGAATCTCTTCTACTTCTGTATTTCTAGCCTCCAATGGAGCATAGGGTCTCAGCCAGCTCACGGCGCAAGTCGTTCTATCCTTCGCTATTGCATGCAGATTTCCCCATGTCCTCCCCATCTTTTTATCTTCACTCTCTCGCTCCCTTTTCCATGTGTTCTTGATCTACATTCAGAAATAGAGAACATATTTATTCTATCTTGAGCACATTATTATTATTATTATTACTAAGCACATTAATTAGGCGTATGTTTTTCTAGCACCATAAAGACAGACCCTCCTCTCCTTCATTCTTGGTTTTGATAAAAAAAAGATCGTCACGTTCAACCAGCACCTTACGAAGAAGAAGCTTTGGGTTATAATTGTGAGTCTGTTTCTTTGCGCCAACGGTTGTTGGCTTAAATTGGATTTGTGTGCTATTTTAAATAGCTTAGTGTCCCTATCGGTTTTCTGTTGTCTTTCCCGCGAGTCCAGGTGTGGGCCTAAGTCCTCTTAAGGATGTTATGATTTCTTTTCTTGGAGCACCCTCCTGTTATTTATGTATTCCTGAATGTCCATCTCTCCGCTCCAACGTTTCGTTTATTCGGACACAACATCCATCGAGTGTTGAAATATTTACACAAATGTATGAGTGGGATCCTATGTCAAAAACACTTTCACTTATTAACAGGACGCTTTAATTCTTTTTAAAATGAGACAAGAGGTTTTGACAGACTCTATACAGGTTTCCACAGAAGAGTAGTCAGCCAACATAGATGTGGTATTCCAACATAGATGTGGTATTGAGATTGGCCACACGCTGAGGGAGCTACTGAAGGTCGGATCCCAGTGCTTTTGGACCTGTTTGATGTGCGATATGGATGATGGGGCGACTGACTAATTAACTAACTAACTAACTAACTGACTGACTGGCTGGCTGGCTGGCTGGCTGGCTGGCTGGCTGGCTGGCTGGCTGGCTGGCTGGCTGGCTGGCTGGCTGACTGACTGACTGACTGACTGACCTAATCACCCACCAACCCACCCATCCCCCTCACTCACTCACTCACTCACTCACTCACTCACTCACTCACTCACTCACTCACTCACTCACTCACTCACTCACTCACTCACTCATCTCACTCACTCACTCACTCACTCACTCACTCACTAATCACCCACTCACTGACTGACTCACTCACGGTCACGGTCACTCACTCACTCACTCAGGAGGAGGAGGACTCACTCTGTACCCACTCACCACTCACTCACTCACTGACTAATTAACTAACTATCTGACTGACTGAGTGAATACGGTCCCGTCGGTCCCTTGGAAATCGTTTAACAAGCTGTTGCTGTATAAAGGTGAGAAGGAGGGGGCAGAGGTGGTGGAGTAAACTTCGGTATAGTAACAAGGGTAAACTTCGGCCGGACATAAAATATATTTGTGCCTGCCATATTTTCAACCTTCACAGATGGGACGACCGAACTTCCACCATCATCTCTGTCAGCCAGAATTAAAGGGAGTTTGTAAGTACCTCTATACAGCCCGTGTATATGTGTGTATGTATGTATGTATGTATGGAGCTGTCTGCCTGCCTGCCTATCTGTCTTTCCGTGAGAGAAGGGTGAGGAGAGAGAGAGAGAGAGAGAGAGAGAGAGAGAGAGAGAGAGAGAGAGAGAGAGAGAGGCCAGATCCATATTCAATAAAAATTCAAACATTTACCTTTTTTCTCTGGCGTCTGTAACTTAGGGATTATGCGCGCATTTACATAACTTCGACACCCCGGCTTTTTTTAAATCTGCAGACAGTATGACAGCAGACTGCTTTAAAAAAACTATTTTATGCGAAATTTTGACCCAGAATGTCGGTATACGACGTGTCATTGCAAAATTAGTTCCTCAGATTTGGCAACAAAAAGATTATCGACCGTTTCTGAAGCCTTGTAAGCGAGATGCGCTTACTGCAGCGGCTTTCAACCTGTCTGTCGCGACTCTTTTCGGGGTCAAACGAGCTTTTCTCAGGGGTCGCCTTAGACCATCGGAAAACACATTTTCACGGAAGTTATAAAGTAGCAACGAAAATAATTGTATGGCTAGGGTCGCCGATGGATGGTTAGTTTCTCAAAAGTCTCCCCACGGACTTCCCATACACACACTATCTCACTTCTGATTGGTCGACCTTAAGTCACACGATCTTCGCACACTGCTACGGGGGGTGTTCGGCAATGCCATTGATATCGCGTGTTGCATATTTAAGCACGCCAGCGCTTTTAACACTACAAAAACATTTAGAAACTTGGTATAACACACAACCCTCCTAGAGAGTGCTGCAACCTATGTCACATGCATTCTCCTTCTCGGAAGAAAATCGTAAATCCAAGACAAGCCAGAAAGGACACAACATAGCGGCAACCTGAACACCCCCCCCCCCCCCCCCACCCCTCCCCTGGACAGCAGACAGTCTAAAAAAATCTATGATTGGAACGTGACCTAGTTTGTTTGGGGAGATTATCGGGAAACTGACCGAAAGGTTAAGAGCCAATAGTTTACTGCATCGTCCGCAAAAACATTATGAATAAACTGGAAAATATTCTTTGAGGGACGTTGAAGCTAAACGCAAACATTGAGGCACATTCTTTGGTTTCCTCCCCCAGCCATTTTGAATGCGACGGTCGCATATTTAACTTGCTCCTTTAACGACGTTGAATGATTACAATGACTGGTACAGTCATGCCATCAGTGCTAACATCTGGGCATGGCACTCCGCTGTGTTTGGCTGCCAAGTTACACTGGTGTCTCGTTAACCGTTCTCTTTCATACTACCCTATGGCTTGTTATTTTCCGGACAGCCCTCGTATAAAGCAGGGTGGCCATCAATACCTACCCGTTTCAGGACTCTAGGTTATACCAGGCGGGTGTGATAGTGACGAGTGTCATAATAATAACTTTGGAGTCGCCGTTGCGTTGGTGGCTAGCCAACCGCCTGCGGATCGGAAGGTAGTGGGTTCGCATCCTGACGTAGCCGGAATATTTCTAAAATCGACCTTGACTCCTAGGTGACCCAGCTTTGAGTGGGTACCAGGTGTAGTCCTGGGAGGTAAAGGCCACCGACCTGATACTGACCACATCACCCACCAAGTGCTGATTGATCTATACACATATAGGTCTAGCCCAATTTGCCCAGTACGCTTAAAGGCGTGGGAAATGGTTCTTTACTTTTAATTCTTACTTCCTGCGTCGTTGTGGTGATGTGGTTAGACTCTCTCCTGTGGTTCCAAAAGTCGTTCAAATCCCAACGGTGTTGAACTTTTTCCCTCAAGAAATGACCTTGGCTCCCTGGTCTACCCAGTCATAATTGGCTACCAGGTAAAGTCGTAGGAAGTAAAGGTGGCCGGTATGTAGCTGACAACATCACCCATCAAGTATCGATTTTGCTATACAACATAGGTTTAGGTTAGGTTTAATCAACGAATCAACATCGTGGCACAAGAGCAGTAACCCATAAGTGCTCCGTCCTCCTTTCAGCGCAAATCTGAGTTCGAAATTCTAAGCGCAGTGCACGAACTCCGTAGCACCGGCGAGAATCTTGAAAATACTCTGGGTAGATTTTTAACTTTAACTTTTTTTCTCGTACAGAAAATGTAAGAGACAAGTCTGAACGTCGTTGATTCGTTGAATGTACTAATGTCTTTCTCCTTTCTTTTCACTGTTGTGTGTCGGGCTCTTATTGGGTCCAGAAAATAAATTCGTTCCTCTGATGGCCCAGTGGAACGTCTTTCGACCAGTTTCATGCTGCAGATGATAACCTTGTATCTGACTGTGACGTCGCGAGACCTCGAAATGAAACCAGTACGACTCAAAGATAGTCGCTGTGCTTACTTTGTCAGACAGCTCGCCAGACTTGTCTGTCTTCGGTTTTCTCTTTTAGCTTCGTTCTATTCCAGGCCTCTGTCAGTCAAGGACCGGACCGTCGAATGTTGTTTTTACAGTGTACCATGAGTCGCCCTGGTGGTCTGGTTCCCTGGTCCTGGCTCCCCATGCCTACCATGGTGGTCGATTCTCTCTCATTCTGCATAAATGTCCAAACCATTGTAACTGTGACTAATACACTCTGGTTTGTGTCTGGTTAAGACTTTTGTCTTTTCTTATTACTTGGACCACCTGTCTCAGTTCCCTCATTTCTGAGACCTCAAGCTAGCTTTTGTGAGCTGTTGTCATCGCACAGAACTCAGATCCGTAGGCCAGAACTGGCACACAGGTAGAGCGGTATACAGCCATTCTCGTCCTCTTGCCAATTTCTTTTTTGCTAAAAAATCCTTTGTTTATGGCCTATAAACGTCTTCTAGTCTATTACAACTGTATGGTATTTGAACTGGTTGACTTGCCCATGCATTTTGTCCCATCATGATCTGTTGTTTCTTCTGGTTTCTTGCGATCACCATGGTTTTAGTTTTAGATATACTGATAGTCATCCCCGAAAGTCACTCTAGATCATAAATTATGGGATAGTAGTATGTTATAGTAAACATCCGCTACTAAAAGAGTAAAAAAAAAAAAAAAAGGAAAGAACATATACAAAGTAACTAACAATAAATTGTTTTTCCCTTCTCTTCTTCATCTTCATCTTCATCTTCATCTTCTTCTTCTTCTTCTTCTTCTTCTTCTTCTTCTTCTTCTTCTTCTTCTTCTTCTTCTTCTTCTTCTTTAACCATCATCATCATCATCATCATTATCTTCTACTTTCCATTCAGTCAGTGACTTTTATGTCGTCTGCTGTGAATAATTCCAAATAACACACACACACACACACACACACACACATATATATATATATATATACTGTCTAATTATCTAAAGTCATCCTCTCGTAGTAGTTCATCATCTTTCATGTCTAACAGTTATGTCTTCAAACACTTCAACACCTCTGTTTACAGGTTCCTTTTACTGTATAAGATTCGTCGCTTTGGAACTGAACCAAGATGTGAGAACACCACTAGAACACCTCTCGCGAACGGCTTCAGGAGACGAAGCTCCTCAAGAGCAACTGTGACAGCGTCCGAACGTTCTCTACGGTCAGACTGTCGTTGCCCGCAGTCGCTGAGTCGTGTGCATACAAGAGGGTCTGTGACAGATCACGGACAGTCTGAGGTTTCATTCACGGAGTCGTTGGTGATGTCTCAATGCCGTAGTCGTGGAAAAGAAGGTCTAGAGACTAGGAGTGAAAGTCACAATGGTTTGCAAGATGCACGCGTTTTGCCAAATTCTGATTGGAAGGATGGTATACATTTAAGTGTTGAGCCTCATTCTGATTGGAATGATGATGATGATGGCACAGAGACTTGTATCGAGCCTCATTCTCATTGGAAGGGCGATGTACGTGAGTATACTGAGCCCCGTTCTCATTGGAAGGAGGGTATAGAAGCCAGTACTGAGCCCCCTTCTGTTTGGAGTGACGATGTAGATGCACGTACTGAGCTTCATTCTGACTGGAAGGAGGGGAGGAAATTACGGGCTAAAGCGCTGCGTAATTGGAAAAAGGGTACAGTATCACGTACTGAACTTCACTCTGATTGGAAGAAAAGTATGGAATCATTTAGCGAGCCTTGCTACAACCAGAGAAATGGCACAGGATACGAGCATCAGCCTACGCGTAGTATGAAGAAGGATAGAGACTCATGGTTTCAACACCATGAACATGAGAATTCTGAGAAGATTACAGACCAATGCTCCTACTAGCGGGTTTACGAGAAACAAAAGAAATATAGACAATATCCCTGCCCATGACGATTCGAGAAAGAAACAGTCTGAGAAAGCTGGCGCGAAGGGACACTTTCCCGGAAAGCGGGAAAGTCTAATTCCAGAGAGATTGGCCGCAGATTATCTCAATGTAAACTCCGACGAAGCGGTTTCTGACTTGCTACATGGCAATTTAGGTTCAATTCTGAGTAAATATTATAAAGACAAGTGCACTGATATACCGGACTTTGATACAAGGAACGTCATCATGCATACACAAAAGATGACGGTTCCTGATTCTAATCAAATGAAGGGAGACGGATTGCCCGTTAAGTCAGCTGTAGAGTTCAGAGAGCGAAGTCTAGATATTACTCCCAACTCTACGCCAGAAAGTAGGAGACGTATGTCTATGCTACATACATGTCGCGGTCGCCAGAACAAGAAGATCGGAAAAGGAAAGAACAGCACCGAACTGGATGTGAAACCACGTTCGAATCGAAGTAAAAGAAGCCGCAGGAGTAATTTGTCCCTGGTGTCTTCTAAATCTTCTTTATTGGCTTTGCACCGCGAGGAAAATGATTCTGGGAATCCAGTCATACAGACGTCCCAAAATATAATTACAGAAACACACGCATTCAAGAAAGCAAACCAGATAAATAGACAATCAACAGACCATCTTTTGAGAATGAAGCCCCGTAAGAATGGTCTGGAGTCATTCAATTACGACCAGCAAAGTATTGTTTCAAGCCAAAGTAAGTACTCAACGGCAAGTCAAAGAGAGCCAGGCCCCCAGAGAGAAAGCCGGACAAGCAACAACAGCGAAAGTGTTCAAGGGCAGAGCCTTTCTGTTATATTTCCAAACTTCTCAACTGAGGCAGTGATTAACTCGCTTCCACACAGCGAAGTCCTCAGCTCCTGGGAAAACCCCGCCAATATTTATGGAGACGGTTGTGCTGCCAGCAGATCAAGGGAAATTCTGGCAGAGACCAGGGTGTCCTACAGTAAACCAACTAAAAAATTCAAAGCGAAATTCAAAGACCAGCTTGGCAGGACTAGCAGGTCCAGTAAATCCTTCCGCAGGTCGGAAGTGTGGAAAACACCAAAGATGAGCAGCGGAGAAAAAGTTTCCGTTGGTAAAACACTGAACGGAGAAGAGATACCTGTATCGTCACTTGCACCCAACACTGTTTTTTCCGGTACGGGCATAAAGTGTCTAGTGACCAGTAAAATTCAGTGTCTGCCCCATACAAGCATTGCTAAAGAGCCTCTCAAAGGAGGAGCAGGAAATAACAGAAAAGATATTAGCATGAAGTCGATTGCTGTACAAAAAGATATTTGCAGTACTTGTGACAAACATTCTACTGCTCAGCAGACATCCATGAAATTCCCGCCGTTTCGTCCTCAAATTCGAAAAACAGATCAGCTATTTGAAGGTGGAAATCCCCTTTGTCCCCCGGTCTCGGATTTCGGGTTTGGAAAGCACTTAGATGCAAGGGAAATGATTTCCTGTCTGCGTAAAGTATTGCCAAAAGATTCAGTGGTCACCTATTCATCTAATTATGACACAGACAAACAAAGTGTTTTGTCCCACACCGACGCCACTTCATGGTCAATGAATATGCAGTCAAGAAATCAAGAAGGGGACCTACCTGAAGATGCCCACGTAAAATCCAGAAAAAGCAAGATGGAAGGGAGCTCCTTTCAAGATTCCCGCGTTAAAAGCAGCAAAAACACGAGCAAAAGGGGCATATTTGAAAACATTCACGTGAAAACAACCAACAGTGCAATAGAAAAAGGCTTATTTGAGGATGCCCAAGTAAAAACCAGCAAAAAAATGATGAAATTAGATAATCAGCTGAAGCAGTCAACGTTCGCCCCGCAAGACTGGGAAAACCTGGTATTTACAAACGACACCAAAAAGCTTAGTTGCCAAAATGTAGCTACCCAGTTTGGGTACGAAAATGTAGCTACCAAGCTTGGCTATCAAAATAAAGCTAGCCAACCTGATTATCAAAATTTATCAAATAAAAAACCCCACCATAATGGACCTAGTAGTGCTGGTTATCTGGGTGGTGCAAGAGACTCTAAAGTAGAGAAGAGCTCACAAAACCAAAATATAGTGCCCACTGAACGTAAATTTCATGTCAGTTCTTTTGTTACCGAGAAAGGTACTTCACGTAACGGTGCACAGATAGATTCGAATGCTCTTAAGAAAACACACACGGATAAAATATCCTCAGGCAGGCTGATTCCAAACAGGTCGAATACGTCCATCACAAAGGAAGAGCAAAAACGTAAAAGCTTGATTCCCCGACACATTAAGACCCCACCGAAGATCAGTCTAATCCAACAGGAGACACCAGAAAAGTCCCGTCGTCCAGCTAATGCTATGCGTAGTGGTATAAGCACAACACCTTCTCGTGGGTCTGCTCAGCCACGCGAGAGAAGTGTGCAAACTTCAGTAACAAAAGAGCGTCGCAATTTTGGAGAGATGGTGAACAGTAAACGAAAAGATAGACCTTTCGTTTCGTCTGCAAAGCATAATCGGTTTGAAGTAAGTACAGGGAGAAGACAGGCCCATCTTGGGAGCCCACAGAGAGGAAAGCAAAGCGGCCAACAAACTCGAGCAAGGACTGTAACCACTCCAGCAGTGCCGAAAGCTATCACTGGAGGCTCGAACAGATCAGTGAGGTCAGCCGCAAAACACACCAAAGACCACCATAGACCAGCCGCAAAGCGTTTGGACAAGAAAGACCTTAGCAGCCCTATGAAACACCCAGGTTTTATAGTTGGGAGGCCAAAGCTTTACACGCCACCTACCGAACCTAAGAAACGAATAAATGCAAAACCCAGTTCAAGTAAGTCTAAGGCACAAGGCAAGCAGACTCACCCTAGTGATGAACTGCAGGCAACGTTAATTACAAATAATGAAAAGGGTGAGTTTGCGGAGGCAAACAAGGGTAACGTCAATGTTCAAGCTGCGGAAAGAGACAACATCTACTGCAAAGAACACAACGAAAGCGATAACGAGATAGGCACAGACGTTGACGATGCAGACAACGCACAAGCTGACGGTTCTAATTCACATTCAGTAAGTGACGAGTTCTCTTTGCTAACATTGACCACATTAAACTACCGACTAATGTCTAGTAGTCCAATAAATCAAGGCGAAGATGAAGCTGATGCGCAGAAAGGAAGTAGCTATGAAACGGACAATGGAGAACAAGAAAATAAACTTAAATGTGGCCTATTAGATAAGTGTAATCCTGAACAAATCATTCTGTGCCCAAAAAAAGAAGTCGCGACGTACAGTCCAGTTAAATCACTCAGTGGGCAAACGTTAATAAGTGAGAGAGTAGCTCAAAGTAAAGCTGCGCTCAAGAAGAGATTTCAGACAAAAAGCCTCACGACAACCTATAAACCAGATTTAGATAACGCTAACATGAGTCGAATGGAGCCATCTGCTGACCTCCCGGCGGGCAGTAGCCGTTGTGCTAGGTCTGGGCGCTATACACGAAACATCAAATGTGGAAACAGACCGATCGCGAGCAACGCTGCAAGCACTCACTATCTTCAATCGACTCACGATTTACAAGCATTTAAATTCCCGTTAGGTTCTAGAGAACAACGTTGTCATGTTAAAACATCAACAGATCTCACTGGTGTTGGTAACGAGCACACTGACCAGTTGGACAACAACATAATTTCTGGAATGTACAACGTATACTCCGCAAATACAAAGACAAGTAATTTGAAGCATGTCCTGAGATCAACTGGTAGAGAAAATGGCGATGACCACTGGCAAGCAAGTAGATCAGACTTCAGTGTAAGGAAGACTTTTCGAAACAACAGCCGGAGATTGTGTTCGGAGTTGGACTGTAACAAGAGTAATACAGTTGACGTGGTAACAGATGAGAGTTGTTGGACCATGGAGCGTATTGGTGAAGTAGGAGATTGTGGTACATGCTGCAGAGGGGAATTTAAACAGAGACCTACTGATACAACAAAGAGGTTTGTCGTGGCTATACCTCAGTGTAAGCAACGGCAGAATGTGACGTCCACTTTGATTACATCGAAAATGATGGAAAACGAATTCTCGAATAGTCATTTTGGATTATCTAGAGAGAGAGAAAACATGGAAGCCATACGTGAGAGAAATGCATGTTTTAACCCGATGTTACATAAAAGTGAGTTACAAAATATAGAGAAAGTAACAACTGGGCATAGTAGAAGCAGTGTGGTTCTAAATTCTGAAAAGATGACAAACAGAGATTGCACCTTCACTTATTGTCATCTTCTCAACCTACCTTCTTGCACATCACAATTAAACAACTCAGGCTTTTACCAGCCACGAGTCAACAATGAAACCCAAGAAACAAAAAAGAGCTCTTGCCGTGACAGAGGAATATGCAAAGAGGCAACTGCAAATCAAAAAACCAGAAATGCTTATACAAAGTTCAAAGGTAGCACACAGTTTCACAGGAACGGCAGGAAACTATCTGTAAACAGGATTAATGACAGCTACGCCAAAGCGAAGACGCGTTACAACAGTAGTGCCAGTACATTAGATGAAGAACAACCACACAGAAGGCATACCCAAGACAGATGCAACAGATTGCAAAACCTGTTAAAGAAACTTCCCACGAAACATCTGTTTTGTAGGGAAACCGGTATTTCTGGAGGACGAATTAAATACGGTGTAACAAAGACAGCGAAAAATGGGAAACTTGAAATGAAACCTCAAAATATGGCACTTAAAACAAAGCGTGCAAAAACGTTTCCATTTGGAAAACGTTGGGAGCCAGTATATGAAAGTCCTACAGACAGAACGCTTGTGGGTAGCAACGTTTCAGTCGGTGTCAGCAAACAGAATGAAGCAATGAGAGGTGGGAATATCACTTCGAGTGAAACGACAAGTCAGTTTTTGGAAGCTGGCAGGTCCGTCAGTTGTCGGAGACACCTGAATATTTCTACATCAGGACTACAGAACGCTCAGAGAC